CGCTCATTATAGCTTTATTTGGTGCAAGTTTCAGTCCAGATGCAGCGGAATGACCGGGCGTTCTATTCCGGTGACCCGTATAGAACGCCCGCCCCGCTCATTATAGCTTTATTTGGTGCAAGTTTCAGTCCAGATGCAGCGTTCTTTCCCGGTCAGGGCGAAGACGGTAGGAGCGTCCATGTCTTGGCGGCGATGACACTCTACAATGGTTACCATCACACATCATATAGTGGTGACATCAGCACATTAGATTTCAGGGGGCGCCATTAAACTGTTTCGTTCCTTGGTTAAACCGCTTAATCGCAAGCACTACTGACAAGTAGCTGATGTATACCGTCTCTTCTCCCGAACCTAACGCACCGTCATGACGACTGTTTCTGACCTGTGAAAGGAAGCCTGCTGACTTTGCCAAATACAGACAGCCTAGTAATGACCATCCTTTCTAATTTGCGTTTGGAACTTCGTTAGTTCATTTCGTGTAGCTTCTCGTGTTTACCCTTCTTTCTTCTTCTTTGTTTTCGTTGCATCTAGACTGACAGGTTTGACAAATACAGACAGCCTAGTAAGTCTCGAAAGGAAGATTGTAAGGAAACATCGTTGGCCTTCTTTCCTCTTCTTCTTCTTTTTTTTTTTCATCTTTTCAAACAATTCATTTCCTTATAATCAGCTCCCTTGAGCCTTGAGAAGGTTCAGAAAAAAAAAGAAGAGCCTCGAGAAAGTAAATCATCGTCCTCTTCGCTTTTCTGCTTTGGCGCTACTGCAGCTGCTGCGATGACGACGTTATTGCTTTTCGTCTCCTTCGCTTTAGGTCCCCATTTGATTCGGTTTGAAGACCTAATTGCACCACTCGCTATCCTCCAAAATTTTGAATTTATATTGAAATGGAGTTTGTCCATATGCATTCAAAATCTTGGCGAATGACGAGCGGTGAAAACAACAAGGTCCTGATGTAAACCGGTCAAGTAACGGATGAACGGGGTGGCTGTAGCACGAGACGAAAAACGGTTTGTCTGTCGAATGGCGCGGGTTGGCTGTCACTGACGCGCGGCTTGAGCGGTTCCTTTTTTCTTTTTGTTTTTTTCATTCATATTAATGATCAAATCAGGGTCTCATACTAATTCAGCCCGTGCTCAAACTGAACCAAAACACAATGTTGCATCAAATCAATGCTACGAAACCCAACGAGCAACCTGAAGGGGTACGGTGAGCTGTTCCGCGACCGGTGCGCCCCCAGCAGTTGTGGATAATACGTCATTTTATTTTTTTTCCCCCTTCCCCCCCCCCCCCCCCCACAGTTACACTGAATTAATCCTTTCTCTCTCGCAGGGGCGATGCTAGTCTTCTCGGTATGTTCCGTTTGTTTCCTTTTTTTTTTTTTTTTTTTATGGACGTTCCAAGGACTTTTCGGTTTCTTTTTCGGGACATACCCGGGTTTTTTTTTTCAGTGCTTGCTTGAACCGTTTTTTTTTTTTTTTTTTGGTACTTTGCGCAATCGCATGCCAGATGTCGTTAGAGAGTCAAACTCGCGGTGCGCGTCAGACACGTGGAGCGAGCCGCAATGGTGCCTAATGAATCGCGAAGAAATCGTCTGACACGTGGACACCGTGTTATCAAAGCGTCTGACACGTGGATACCGTGTTATCACTTTTATTAGTATTATAGTATTATAGTATTGCTATTATTATTATATTATTATTATTGCGTATTATTACTATTATTATTGGGCAAATCGGCAGTGCATGGGAGGAGGCCTCGGTCGGCGTCCGCGGTTCTCAGGGGCTCGCTCCACCGTATACTCACTCCTCCCCCTCTCCTCGCGTTACGCCTCCCCCTCTCCTTGCGCCTCCCCCTCTCCTTGTGCCCCCTCTCCTCGCGGTGTTACTCGTCTTGTTCGATCCATCTGGTAGTTCAACAGTTCACGCCATTTACAAATATTTGGTGTGTACCCACTGAGCTAGGCTCGTAATAATGGATGCGAAGCTATCATCATAGATGAGAGAGTATGTAGACACTTAGGGCCTCCACCGATCACGGATCATGGAAAAAGAGCAACTGACTGGCTGGCTGGCTGGCTACCTCACTCTGCTGAACATACTTTCCTATCTAACACATGAATGTGTCTAGACTCAGTCCTGGCCAAATACGGTCTTTTGGCCAAATACAGTCTTTTACCAGTCGTGAAAGTATAACTGACTGGCTGGAAAGTATAACTGACTGGCTGCCTGATTTCCCCAAACACTTCTTCCATCAGTCCCCATGTTTGGGAGGAGTGTGTCCCCCCCCCTTCGCCATCTTCCCCCAAACACAACGCACTCTCATCACGACTGTATCAGACCGTAAAGATAGTTAGCGGAAGTACAGAAAAAGGGAACTGTTTATCAAATTTGATCTTGCCTGCTGTGGAATGGGTATATGCTGGGCAAACTGTTTAGTTTGGGCAGCGTAAATCGAAATACAGAAAAAGAGATAAATTTTGCAAAATACCCCCGTAAGTGGGGATGTATACGAAAATGTAGGTTGGACAGCATAAATGGAAATAAAAACAAGGGATATCTCAAGTTAGTTATCGGGGGATTTTGCAAAATTTTATCCCTAAAAAACAAAGAAGCTGGACAGCATGTTAACTTGAAGTAAAGACAGAGAAGCTGGACAACGTAAGTGGAAATAGAAACAAAGAAGGTAAATAAAAGATTGTGTTATGTCGCTACATGTCTGTTTTATAGGTTGCATTGTTATTCTGCATGACCCGCCTCATCGGTTCCATGACTCCTTATAGGGGTTGCCAACCCCCTTTATAGGTTGCATGACCCGTTCTTGTAGGTTGCCAAACTGGGCTGACCCCTTTATAGGTTGCATGACCCCTTCTTATAGGTTGCCAATCTCGGCTGCTGGGACTTGTCTCTACTGATGGGGACAGCTAGCTGCGCACCACAGTCCAGGCCGTTCTCTGCTGGTCAGCATGAGTGGGCCTGGCTGCACTACTCTCCAAATGTGCAAAATGGGAATGAATCTTCCGCTAGGGCATGGAAAGATTCACCTCCATCTTTTTTGTCTTTTTGTGCATGTCGAAAGTAGTGCAGCGAGGCCCAATGTGCCCTTTGTTTTTGAGTTGTACCACTGGTACTGCTACTATTATTACTACTACTACTACTGCTACTACTACTACTACTGCTACTACTACTACTACTACTACTACTACTAGGTGAAGTTGGGGCATTCAAAATTTTATGCACCCTTTCGGCACCCTGATAAGCCGAACTTTTCTGCTTCCTCCTTATCCACAGCCTCAACCTTGGGTAAGAGCGCAACTTTGCCTCTCTGTGATGGTGTAAAGATGCTCCCTCTGTGTCCTTCGGGACATCCCTTAGAGGCGGTTAACAGAGCCTTAATTTTTTTTTCAGGGTCTTTATAACAAACGACCCACACCTTTTAAACCAAACCTGTCGCCAGTCCATAGAGTGGACACCAAATAAAACGATGGCGAAAAGTAATAAATAAACAAAGGACCAAGGAACATAAAACTCCACAAGGCAAAAATGTGTTTTCATGCAAAATTCGCTCTTTCCAGTTTTTAATGACTTTCAAGGCTTGCCAGAACAGTCACCTCTAAGACCCTAACGAATACCGAACTTGGCACGACAAAGACCTTGACCAAAAATAAAGGAGGGAAAAAAAAACAAAAAAAAACAAGAACTGGAAAAAAAAAATCCCCGAATGCACCTTTCAGTGCTTGGGGGGTAGCCTGGGGCTGAAAAGTGGGGGGTCCCTGTTATCTAACCACTTCGTGTTGGAATGAGTACAGAGCAGGTTAGCATGGCCTCCTGCTCAAGGATGACATGCATAATTCCAGAAATGGTCCAGATTCAGAAGAAGAGAGAAACGTGCTCTCGCTCGGATCTTCTCTTTTGGTTGTCTTGGTTGCGTGTTGGGGTGCTCTCGCCCAAGAATATGTTTGTTGTAATGTGGATTTCTGTTTTTATTCGTTTTTCAAACAGTCCATCTGACTCTTTTGACTGTTTTCCGGATGTGTGAATCTGTATGCTTGCTTGTGCTTGTGGATGAAGCCGCTGCCATGCTCCTGGGCATGCTTGTGGGTGGCATGCATTCTCTCATTGGGAAAGGAAAAGGGTTGCGCTTCAATCCGGAAGCATTCTTCTATGGACTGCTCCCCCTCATCATCTTCAATGCCGGATACAGCCTCAAGAAGAAGGTATGTAAAGGCGAGGGATGGTGGTGTGCCATTCAAGTTTCAACGTGAATCCTTCATTTGATCTGAGTTTGCGTTCTGCTATTCCACACCAGAAAACAATCGCTTAGAGCATACTCACATTAGGCCCTCAAAATCACGAAATCACAAAAATGAGCGGCCAGATCGTGTCCATGTAAAGAAAGGACTAGATCTGGTGGCTAATTTTGTGATTTTGCGATTTTGAGGGGCTAGTGTGAGTATGCCCTTATTATAAAAGGATAGTCAGCTGGCTAAGTCTTGTCAAAATTGGACCACTGCCTTTTAGACTGTGACACTAAGTCTTGTTAAACCGCAAGTACCTATGCTCACCTAACAAGTCAGAAAAAAGTACAAGAGTAAACCCCACACTCTCCTCTTCACGATGGCTGAGAGACCCTTTGTTTTTTCTTTCCACTCCACGAGAATAACACTCTTCCTGCAAGCGAAGAACACTCCCCGTGCAAATGAAGAAAACTCCCGTCCAAGAGAAGAGCACTCCACGTGCACTTCCCTTGCTATGTTCTGAGCAACGTGTGCTGCAAAAGACAGAGTCTGAAGACCTCTCTCGAGGGGGTTTGTTGGCCCTCAGCATTTTGCTCCTGATTCCAAAGCTTGATATGTATGTCTCTTTCCGAAGCTTGATATACAAACCCTTCTTCCCGAAAGCAACCAATCCGCGAAACAGAGTCTGTTCTCGATCAGGGTATAATACATCCTACTGTCAACCAGTTTTAACGAAGGGTTTAACCAGTTTTAACGAAGGGTTTTCTGAGGGTGTGAACCCTATGGTGTCTTCTGTGGGTGTGATACACTTGCCGTTTGCCTTGGTCATCCGCCACTTCCAGCGGTCTTCGTCACAGTGCAGTGTGCCCTCAAATCGTGTCTCCATATCTCCTTTTGCCTCCATTCATGTTTTGATTGTGCTCGCCTGTTTTTCTTTGGATGGTCCTAATGCAGCGATGTTTCCAGGTCACCCAAGAAGTCTTTCGATGAGTTCAAAATTCAGTGCTCCGAATGTGGCCAGTCTGTTAGAAATTTTGGTGGCATAATGATGTCAGTTGGGAAAGGGGAATCAGTGGAGATGACCCGAGAGGTTAACTGTGATGCCTTGTTGAATCCCTCTGTTGCCTGCGTATAGCGAAAAAGAGGCAGATGGGAGGGTGTCTATCCATGAGTGTCTCGATATGCAAGTCGTGAATACATTGGCAATTATTGACCCATGTTAGAGATGGTGCTCCTGTTGTTTGGCTTCAGCTTGCCATTGTACTGTCTGCTTCTTCTACTCAACGTTTCCTACATTGCGCCTTCCCCCTCCTTCTTCTTACCTTCATTTGCTACTTTCCTCCTCCTCTCCTCCTCCATGCATCTCTTCCTCTACTCCTCTAGTGTTGCATTCCTCCTTGCTCTTCTCTCGTGCCCCACTCATGCTCTTCGTTGGCTTGTCTCTTGCCTCTCTCTGCTCCTCTGTCATTCCTCTTGTGCTCGTTTATTTTTTTTTGTACTCATCCTATACTGCTTTCTCACTCCTTTTCATGCCGCTGTTTGCATTCTTCTCCGACTGTTCTCGTCCTTACTTCCCTATCCTCTGCCACTTCTTTTCTCTCCTAGTCATATCCTTCAAGCCTCAGTCTCCCCAGTCTTTCTTCTATCTTTTCAATTCCCTTTCTCTCCTCCACTCCTCCTGAGGCTCCTTATCCATGCATCTCTCCTATGCTACTCCCTCACTTATTTTGTTGTATGCTTTTCTCCTTTAAACCACCAGTACCTACCGGTTGTCAAGGCCCGACCCTAGAGCTACCGGTAGGCCTAGCCTACAGCTACCGTGACGAGCCTATACGTACCGGTCCTTTGCGAACATCGAAATATGTAAACAAGGAATGTGAACAAAATCAAAAGTAAAACAAACAAAAAAACAAAGAAAAAAACAAAAAAAAGAAAAAAAAGAAAAAAAAAGTAAGAAAAAGGGCTGCATTGCGCCATGTGTGTGTGTGTGTGTGTGTGTGTGTGAGAGATAGATAGATAGATAGATAGATAGATAGATAGATAGATAGATAGATAGAGAGAGAGAGAGAGAGAGAGAG